GAATAATAATAGTACTCACCCTGGGGGTTGTCATGACAATTAAATGTAATTCACTGAGAACAGATTCTGGCACAGAATAAGGACTATGTGAGCACTAGCACCTGTAATTATTTTTTTATTTTTTTTTAAAATTTTTTTTCAACGTTTTTTATTTATTTTTGGGACAGAGAGAGACAGAGCATGAACGGGGGAGGGTCAGAGAGAGGGAGACACAGAATCGGAAACAGGCTCCAGGCTCCAAGCCATCAGCCCAGAGCCTGACGTGGGGCTCGAACTCACGGACCGCGAGATCGTGACCTGGCTGAAGTCGGACGCTTAACCGACTGCGCCACCCAGGCGCCCCAGCACCTGTAATTATTAAGCTGCAATAACTAAAATGATTCGATGCTGTCATATTCATACACAGGTAAACCAATGTATTAAAAGAGAAAAGCCCGAATATAGGCAGGATAAAACAGGTCAAAATATATTCAGGAATTTAGTAGGTTAAAATCTGGCATTTCTAATCAATGGGGAAAGATGAGTAATTCAATACATGGTGATGGAACAATTGAGCAGCCATCTGAGAAAATAATATTATCTCATAATTTGCACCAAAATAAATTCCATGGAGATCAATCAAAGAGTTAAATGTGGGGGGAAGAACCTAGCACCAGAAGAAAGCATGTGAGACTATTTTATAACCATGGAGTGTTGATGAGCTCCCTATATATGACATAAACATAAAAGCCATGAATAAAAACATTGATAAACTCAAAGGTATAGGAATTGTTTTTAATTCTGCAGAGGAAAAATCACAGTGGTTGTCTCTAGAGTCAGGATGCGGGTTAGAGATGAAGAAAAATGTGACATAGTCATTGAGGAAATGGAAGACAGTATTTAAGGATTCAACTCAGATGAGAAGCCATAAACTGTGTAAAAACATCGCCACATGTTTTTCCTCATGCAGGTTAGAAGCCTCTGGGACTTGCTCATTAGGAGTTATGTTCACCTGCTGGCACCAGAGACCAAAAGTAACAGGGCTTAAATAAGACTGAGTTTATTGTTTTCCCTCATATAAAAGGATGAGGAAACAGATAGCAGAGGCCATTGTCCTTAGGCACTCAGACTTCTATTTTCCTGCTCACTGTCCTGGCCACTGGCTTTTATCCTGAAGGTTGCCTCATGATCCAAGATGGCTGCTCAGACTCCAGCCATTATTTTTGAATCCAGACAGGAAACAGGAGGAAGGAAGGGAAAAAAGACTATGCCACAGCTGTCTGTCCTCCTTTTAAAGAGGCTTCCTGAAAATCTTACCTCCAACTTCCCTTTGAATCTTACTGGCTAGGATGTACTCCTGTGTCCCACACCTATCAGTAGGGCAGCATACTGCCACCCCAAATAAAATCAAGGTTCTGTAACTAAGTAAGAAGAAATGAATGGTGGGGCACCTGGTTGGCTCAGTCACTAGAGCATGTGCCTCTTGATCTCGGGGTTGTGAGTTTGAGCCCCATGTTGGGTATAGAGATTACTTAAAAATAAAATCTTTTTTAAAAAGTAAGAAATGAATGGATATCAGGTAAGCAAATAGCATTCTCTGCCATCAGCCACATCCAGAATTAGAGCTGTGTCACCTAAGTGTGGCATAAGGATAGGGGAACACAGGCAGTCAAGGAGCTAGTGAAAGGGCAGGAGTAGAGAGTAGAGGATCATCAGGGAGCTTGGACAGCCCAAAAGAAAGTGGATTATCAGAGGGTCAAAACAAAGATATACCAAACAGGCTGATGGTAAAAGAGAGCTGGAAGGAAAGAAAGTTGTAGTATAAAAATGATGCTGGCATTTAATATTTCAGAGTTCTCAATCCCAGGGATAAAAAGGAGTCCAGGGTATGGCTGAGTGGAGTGGAGGTCACTAGAGTTGGGGGGACATAGGAGTCCCATGTGTTCAGAGGGCTGTCCCTGTCGATGGGACCTCCCAGGATAGTGTTGGGTGGTGGAGGGGATGTCTGTGAACCAGGGGCTGATCCTTGGGAAATGCTGTAGACAGACTCAGAAGGACAGGAGCGGAGATGGTGGCAGGGGGACAGCAGAGGTTTCAGTGGCAGAGGGTGGAGAGAAACTGGCTGCAGCGCAGACACAGATTCCAGCCATGAGGTTCAGGAGAGGGGAGAGAAACATGGAAAGCCAGTGTATCAGGGCATGAGAGAGCTGTGAGTCTATGATAAGGGCCGAAGGAGGGGGAGGAGGAGGTGGGTGGGCCAGGGCTCAGCAGTGGAAGGAGCAGGTGGAGGGATGGGTGAGGAATTCAAGGAAGGGGAAAGGAAGCAAAGGGAAAGGCTGAGAGAGAGAGAGAGAGAGAGAGAGAGAGAGCAGGCAAGAGCGATTCTCTTGATTTAGTGTTGAGGACAACCACGGAACAGGGTTGGGCAGCCTCAGAGTGCCAGCAGGTGCCACTCAAGAGTCCCAGGTGGGTCCAACAGAGCTGTTCCGCTGCCCTGACCTGTCTAGGGGTGGTCTCAGAGCACACAGAGCAGGAAGGCAGGGAGGAGAGATGCCTTCTGTGGATGTCACCCTGACATGCTGCTGTTCCCCTACAGGTCTGCAGACTAAAGCCAGAACCGTAGCCGGGTGAGTGCTTGTCCTGTTTGGGAAACAGGAAGGTCCTTATGGGGACAGCAGCTCTCCTCCTCACCTTCCAGTGGGCACCTCTTTTCTCAGAGCCACTTCCCTCCTCAGCTTCTAGCCTCACCTCTCTCTCCTCCACCACCAGGCCTTCTCCCTCTTTCCCTCCCTCCAGAGCTCTCTTCTTCATCCTCCCCTTTCCTCCAGCCCATCTTCCCTATTCTATTCTTTCTCTCAGCCCCTTCCCTCCCCTCTCTCCCTTCCCACCTGGGCACCGGCCAGAAGACCATCACCACACTTCTGATGGCTCTTCCAACAAAGCCACTTCTCCGGGATGATCTATCTTCAAGGGAGTCTCAGGACCTCTACTGGCTACACGGCAAACTGCCTCTCAATCTTCTCCCAGGCCTCCTGAGAGCCTCAAACCTTGGCTCACCTGAGTGTCAGGGGGTTGCAGAGCTCCCACAGAGGTTTGAACCCACTTCTGCCCAGCCTCTAATGCACTTCCCGCCCTCTCCTTCGCACACAGGGAATCGGTCCAAAACACTGAGGAGAAGTATGAGAACATCGGGATTACAGGTAAATTCTTACTGTGACACTCCCCTCTCTCCACCTTGGTTCGCCCTTCCTCACACACCCCCTGCCCACACACCTGCCTCAGCATTCTCCTCTTTCCTTGTCCCACCCATCCCTCTGGCCTGACCCTGGTCTTGACCTAGCAGATGATCTCACTCCCCAAGGCCCCCGTGCATCTCTCTGCCCTGGCTGACATGCCACCTGACCCGAGCACACCTTGAATTTTTCTAGGACAAAAAACAGAGCCCAAGCTGGACCCCAAGGTAAGCAGCCCAGACTAGAGCCTAAAGGAATTAAAAAGAAGTTTGGAGAAGGTGGGGTAGATGGAATAGAGGAACTGTGGTGTTGGTGGGGCACTCAGTTACGGGGTTACTGCTCTAAGTTGGGGACAGCTCCCCTTCCACTCACGCCCTTCTTCATTCTCACCAGGGTGAAGCCCAGGATGACAGTGGCATCCTCTATGCCTCCCTCACCCTCTCCAGCTCGTCACCGGCAGCCCCTCCCTGCACCCCTTCCAAGGAGAGCCCGCAGGAGACCCTGTATTCTATAGTAAAGGCCCAGTGAGCGGGATTGAATGGGGACTCCCTGCGACTAAGCTGCACAGAAGGTCACAGCTTCTAGTAATAACCCTGGCCAGACACAGACAAAAGCCAGTGGGTGTGGAAGGCCACCAAGGACCAGAGAGAAACAGAGCCATCTGCTTCCATTCCCTCTTCAACTTCCCAGCCCTTGCCCACAAAAATAAAAGTACTAGTAGGATTTGCCTTAAGGCACCTAAGGAGAAACTGATGGCATCTTCTGTCTTTTCCTTCTAGCCAAAAATGAGCTGTAAAAGTAGCTCACACCCAAGATCCCTCCTCCAGTGCTGGTGTTCAGTGACTGCCTTCAGGCCAGGTGGGGGACACCAAACACTGGCAGCCAGCCCAGAGCCCAGACTCTGCCCCCTTATCTAACCATTCTACTTCTGCTACCATAACATGTACCGCGTTAAGTGCATCACTCGTGTAAGCATCACCAACAACCTTATACAGTCCTGGATGCACT